TCCAATCATTTATCCTAGTACAGTCAGAGTAAAGATTCCCAACACATGTACCTGAAGTCGCAGCTTTACGCTCTCTGGTGGTTTTCAACTGCTCTTAGGATGGCCACAGAGGCCTTCTTTCAGTCTCTCGTCCTCAACTTGCTCAAATTAACACAAAAGGCTTTAGACCTGACAATTCCTCTGGAAGGAATGTTTCTTCTTCCCATGTTAGCTTGTTAAATCTATTCATCTTGGGGGCCATCAGGTAGAATGGTGGTTAAAGTCACTGGACTCCCACATGGCCTACGCCAGCTCGAATCCCGAGCCTGGTGGCTTGCTTTCTCACTTTCCCTCTCTCTCTCTGTCTTTCTATGATCAAAATGGAAAATAAGGACCAGCAGGTGGCATGGTGGTTAAGGCGCTGGACACTCCCACATGGCTGACCATGGTTCGAGTCCTGGACCTGGTGGCTTGCATTCTCACTTCCCCTCTTTCTCTCTCTTTCTCTGTGTCTCTCTCTGTCAAATTAAAAATAAATCAATGAATAAATAAAATTTAAAAAATTAAAAATGGAAAATAATAATGTTAATAAATAAAGTTAAATAAAAAATAATTCTTAAAAAAATATCTGTTCAGCTTGATTTTGGATTGTTATTTCTAAAGATGTCTTTCCTGGCCTCCCTGTGAGGATCACAAGTTCCCCATTATAAGTATTTAATAATATCCAGTACCTCTAGAACTTATCATACTTAACATAAAAACATTATTTTCAATTAATGTGTCTTTCCCCTAGTAAGTTATAATTCCATAAAAGTGAAGTGTCTGGTTTTATTTAAGAACGCACCTGAACACCAAACACAGTGCATAGTGTACAGTAGTGTTCACTCAGTATTTGCAAGTAAACGATCTGAAATGTAGCAATACTTGCTTGTTTACAAATGCATAATACAGTAAAAGATTACAGGCCCCACCTGTGGTGGGATGGTTAAGGCACTGGATCCCATATGGCTGACTGTGTGGTTCAAGTCTGAGGCCTGGCTTGAAAACCATGTTGTGCCCATGTGTATGCATGTCCAAAATTCTGAAGGGAAGAGAAATAGAGAAGGAACTGTGGCATGATCATCCCCTAAGGGGGATGATTTTTCACTTTCTTTCATTTTTTTTCTTTCTCCTCCCAGCCAGGGGAGTGCATGTACCTTCGGCATATTAAAAAAATAGACAAAAACAAACAAAAATGCAGAGTAATCATGTTTCTTTCCCACTAGACAGGTTAACCTCTTTGGAACTCGCTTCAAAGTTAAATCCATTCAAAAAAATTATACTGTGC